ATTTGAATATAAAGGGCCTTTTCTAGGGTAAAGAAAACTACAATTCATACAATTTAGATGATAGGAACTAGTGAAAACATCATGAGGATTATTCTACATTCAATTTCTGCCAATAGTTCCCTTTCACCTAAATCTTACACACTGGACCTTTAAGTCTAGGTATAGGAATATATAAAACAATATGAATTAAACAGTGTAAAGACAGGAGGAAATATATGTAGTGTGGGGATATTTACAGGGAATGGGCCAATTATACTGCACAGACAGATGAATATAGCACAGTGAATATTGCACAGTTGAGACTTAAGTGAGTATATTTAATATATGTAATGTAATGTAATTTTATGTTATGTTAGGTAAAGTTAAGTGATGCTAGGCCATTTTATTTTATGTTATCTTATCTCAATAAGTAAGGAAAAAATGCCCATCACACTGGAGCTGCAAAAGGAGGAATATGAATCAAGATAACAAGGATGTAGATAAATACTGCAAAGTTAGTGATTCCAGGCCTGCTGCTGTGCACTGTCGCTTTAAGACGGTCACATGACAACAGAGCCGAAGGAGGAAGCAGGAAGAAGGTTGATCAGGAGGAAGAGACAGAGCACATAAACAACGAAAGAACAGAAACTATAATCAGCCCACACATTCATCGCCATGGCCGGCATCAAAGGTATTTTACTAACTGCGTTAGTGAATTAGTTGAAGAGTGGGGCGTTACGTTTATTACCTAAACGTTGTTTTTGTGCGTCAGTGCTTCAACAAGTGTGAAACTACTTTGAATTGTTTGAGAAGCTGCGCTCAATCCTGTCGACAGGAACAACTCTGCCCCGAGGACATCAAGACCCGTTAGAAGATTTCTCATGTCTTCGTAAAGTTAACAACCAGTTTGTCAGTGACTGTCCACAATCAGTGAACTTCACTGATACACAATCACTTCACGTGTTAACAACCGGCTTTGTTCCTTATTTGAGGTTTGGACAGGAAACATCTATCTGTGTGTATGTGATGTGACTAATGCTTGTCTTCTCTCAGCACTGGTTGGTTTGTCCTTTAGTGGTGCTATTGGACTCACGTTTCTCCTGCTGGGCTGTGCACTGGAACAGTACGGGTATGTTCCTCTGAATAATAACCACACATGCACTATATATC